ACATGCAATTGCATGACGGTGATGCAATGCAAGAGTCACTGTGCGCAAACCCCTAATAAGGAAAAATGGATCATATTTTTTTGTACATGCATAATTAGACCTATTTTTTGAACTATAAATCGAAGGGCGAAATGAACCGAAATACAAAGCATGAGAAACGGTAAGGGGCAAGAAGCCGAACATATTATATTACAAAAACGACCAATTATCGAAATTACGTAGTAATAGACATTGTCATGTAGCACAAATGATTTTCCAAAAGATCCTGAATTTTGTAAAACACAATGTGATTAACCCTAATATTGAATAATAGACATAGGGTCATAATAAAGTATTTGCTTGGTTAGGGGATTTAAGTAGTTAATCATTAATTTCATCTATCTCATTCTCTCAAACATTTTCTTCAATATGGTAGTATTTTTGTTCAAAATTTTGAAATATGTCTCAAATTTGGAGCCTCCCTTTAATTTACAAAAAATAAAGAAAAAAAAAATAAAGAACACAAAACAAATAAACAAGTGACCCAATCTCTCGAGTTTAGTTAGCCAAGTCACGCTCTGAGTTAGGGCTGGCAATGGATCGTGTCGTGGCTAAAATGCTCAACTCAAACCCGACCCATTTAATAAATGTGTCGTGTCTAGTTTGAGTCTTGTTAAATAGGTTTTTAAACATGTTAGCTGGTTAATAACATGTTTAACAAATTATTAGGATTGCTATATGTGATTTCGTATCATGTAGTGCGAATCACATTCCAAAATATCCCCAATTTCGTAAACCAAAATGTGATTAACCCTAATATTGAATAATACACATAGGGTCCTAATAAAATTTGGAACTTTCCTTTCTTTGTCTTTGCGCTATACATTAATTAGGTTCGATTTTTTAAGCTATCTTTAGTTTGCACACAGCCGGTCGGCATTTGCATTGGAAACATGCAATTGCACGACGCTGATGCAATGCGAGAGTGACTGTGCGCAAACCCCTAAAAAGGAAAAATTGATAATTTGTTTTTTTTTAAAAGGCATAAGTAGACCTATTTTTTGTACTATCAATTGAATGGTGCGAGATTGGATATAAGAAGACTTCTCATACTTCCACTTCATTTCCTAAACATTCATGGTCATATATTATCAATTGGGCATTGATCATGATCGAAAAAGTCCAATTTTCTTTTTCGTCAATTCAATGTGGCTTAATCAATCGACCATTAAGTAATAATTTTTGGGGACATTTTGGAAAAGACCAAAGGAGAGAGAAATATTTTGAAAAGAAGACAAAGTGGACAAAAATGCCCTTATTATTTTTGGATTTCCTAAGGAACCCTTTATATTTGTATGTCTTTGGTTTAAAAGTTGAGGGGTTTTTCTGTCTTTTTTTTAAAAAAATTTGTCTTTTTCCAAAAGTGAAAGTTTGTGTGTAGCTAAAACCTAAATTTACTTCATTTTTGTTGAAAGTTTTTAAATTTATATTTGTGTCAACAATCATATGTTTGATATTATTATTTTTTTAAATTAACAATATAGTAATAATTGGAGATAATCAACAAAGTTCAATTTTATTCCCAATAGTTCATTGGGTTAAATTAGTAGTAAATCACGAAAGTTATATTCAGTAATTTATGCCAAGTAACCTACCTAACGAACGCTAAGCGACTCATTCGTCGGGTAAATGACGTTGTCCGTTGACCAAATTACCCAACGAACTCCATGATTTACTCAACAAACAAGGTATTTGACTTCGAGGACGCAAGGGATGCGCTCGTTGAGTACATTTCGTCGTTCCTCGGGAAATTGGACAAACTAAAATACTTCATCAAACAAACGCGCTATTTTTTCACGCGAACACAAGGGATGCTTTAGTTGAATAAAGTTGGCCGTTCCCCCGAAAATTGGACCCAACTGTCTTACTTTTTCAAACAAATGGGCTATTTTTTCATGCGAACGTAGGGGTTGTGTTCGTTGATTAAAGTTTCCCGTTCCCAAAAAAATGGGCTAAACTAACTTACTTTTCCAAACAAACGCGCTATTTGTTTACGCAAACGCAGGGGTTGTATTCATTGAGTAAAGTTGCCCGTTCCCCGGGAAAATAGACCCAACTAACTTACTTTTTCAAACAAACGGGCT